TCTCGATTCCACAATACAAAATCAGAGTTGGTGCCGACGGCTCACATCTGTAATCCTAGCTACTCAGGAGGCAGAGATCAGGAGGATTGGAGTTCGAGGCCGACCCAGGCAAAGAGTTTGCAAGACTTTATATTGAAAAAAACCCATCATAAAAAAGGGATGGTGGAGTGGCTCAAGGTGTAGGCCCTGAGTTCAATCCCCAGTATCGCAAAAAAAAAAAAACTAGAAAAGTCAAAATCAAAATTAGCAAATGTTTTGTTAAATGCCTGCAAAAGGTATTCTTTCGAAGTTTTATATAAATATGGTAAAGTTCAGAGTATAAGAAAAAAATGAAAAATATATTATTTCAGACTCAGATTTAAATCATCTACCTCCATGATTTGAGTGCTTCCTCCACATTTCATGTCTTGGAAACCTCAATTCATAAGTTAATGCTTGGAGGTGCGGCCTCTGGGAGGTGAGTGGGTATTGAGTGCTTTGCCCATAGGGATGGCTCACTCCACTCGTGGGTTAATGGGTTATCAAGTGAGTGGCTTTGTTGTAAATGCAAGCTGTCTCTAGCTTGTCTGCTCTGTCTCATCACATGATGTCTGCTATGCTGACACAACACAAAAGCCCTCAACACATGCCAAGAAGATATGTAGGTGGCATGCTCTTGTACTTCCCAGCCTCTGGAACCACAAACCCAAATCAACTTCTCCTCTTTATAAATCATCCAGACTTGAGTATTTTGTTACAGCAACAGAAAACAGACTAAGATATACACATCAAAGGTATTATATTTAACAAGCAAAGAGGTCTGTTTTGATTTGGCATGAAGTGTGTGTGTGTTTGGGGGTGGGACAGGGTAGGGGACATTCAATAGTAAGAGTGATCATAACCTAAAAAGATCTATGAAGAGCCTGACAAAGCCTCTCTCTTGCAACCTGTTCTCCAGGTGCTGTAGCTAGCTAGCATCCTCTTCTACAAGTTTATTTGATGGAGTAGGGAAAGAGAGATGCTGAGTGACAGCCCAGGAAGGCCAGAGCTTTGAAGAGACCTAGTAGCTCAACGCTGGCGTGTGAATAAGGCTGAGGCCCCTGAGTAGCTGTGTCCAGTGGCCAGAACCTGTCTGTGCTTATGGCTGGTTGGGGCAAGGGCGTGGGAGCTTGGGAGTGATGAGCTTCAGTGACCCTGGAAGGCATGTACAGTGGCCAATGTTAGGAAAATGCTGCTAGCAAAAAAAAAGAGACTCTCACATCCAGCAAGCAAAGTTTAACGACAGGCTCAAGGTGCCAGGCTGCCCAAGAGAATCGCCGCGCCCGACTTGGAGGTGGGAGTGTTTTTATGGCTGCCTTGGGTAAGAGTACGAGGAAGTGGTCGCTGTGAAAATTTACTGAGATCGTTGGGGCGGAAAGTACTCAGTTGGGCAAGGGGGCCTCTGAGGCGTGCCTTCTGGAACGGGCTGCTGTTTCTTTGAGGCGCATTCTCCTGGAACGGGAGGGTGGTGTTTGGTTTTATCATTTACCACTGGAGATCAGAATGGAGAGCCAGCAGGGCCCAAAATGGAGGCACTTTTGCCTGCATATTTCTATTAGCCAGTCCATCTTCTGGCTTCATAGTTCTTGTGACATCCAAAGCTTTGCAGGCCAGAGAAGAAAGGGCTCTGCTCTCTAAGGAAGGCATTTAGCAGCCTCCCAGATGCCTATTTTTATTTATTTCTCCTCCTCGGAGCCTAGCATCTCCTGTGTTCTCACTCCTTTGTTCCTTACATGTCTTCTTTCTAATCCGGGACTTCCTGAAATTCAGTGTACAGGCAGTATTTACTGAAAAATATAGTTTCTTGGCCTGTATCCTTGATTCTTGTTCTGTACATCACAGAATTCTCTTCTCTCTCTCTCTCTTTCTCCCTTCCTCCCTCCTCCCCCTCCCCTCTTCCCTCTCTCTCTCTTTCTTCCCAAAGTCAGTTAAGATATTCAAGATTAACCTGGGCTACATAGTGAGTTTGATGCCAGCCTAAGCAACCTAGTGAGACCCTGTTGAGGCAGGCTAGAAGTAGGAAAAGTTTGGGGCTCATGTAGCTTGCCTGGGGATGGGCCAGACCACCCTCACCTGCCCGGGAACCGTTCATGCTCCTCCCCACTCAGTTCATAATTGGGTGGGAACCTCCTGGTTCTGCCCTCCCATGGGTCGTGTAGGTTTTAAAGGCACCTGAAAAAGAAAATTGCTCTCGTTGCCAGTGGATTCCACTTGTGTCCACTGTGCCCTCTTTTCTTGCTTCCCTTCCCTCACCTGGCAGGACAGGCGACCCCTTCTCTCAATAAAGCTATCCTACCTCACCCATCCACGTGCTCTGCTTTTCCATTGGGAGCACAAAAATCATGTACTTCACCAGCGCTGGTGACACTGTCCCCCCCCCCAAAAAAAAGGACTGGTTATGTAGCTCAGTGATAGAGGACTTGCCTAACATTCTTGACATACAACAAAGTAGTTCAGGTTCTAGAGATAAGTTTCCTGTGGTGTGGTTTCCCATGGTCCAACTGCAGAAGACAAATGGCATTTGGAGTGACTTGAAGAAATTTCTGGTAGTAAAGCTTGAGCCAAGTGAGCTATATTTTCCTATCTAGCAAGGGTGACAATCCCACATTTTGTGCACCACGTCACATTGGGTGCCTAAAGCAAACCCAGCTCTTGGATCAGAGAGAATTTGGGGAGGGGTACTTGTGTTTTCCTTGTCAACTGGGAGTCTCAAGGCTAAAGCCTGACTGGTAAAAAATGAATTTTGTCACCCTTTCTATCCCCAGCTGCAGCTCCAAATCCCAAAGTGGTCAGATCTAAGTCATCATTTGACTTTGAAACAAACTCACACCATGCCATTGTATTCAGTAAGTTTGCATATTAACCCTTTGCTTTTGTTATGTGACAAAAAGCTTTGTTCCCCATTTAAAGGAATGTTAGGTAACAAAATCAGAAGAATTTAGGGTTTGTTTTACACCCTTCTTTGCAATCCAAATGTAATTACAGGTCTGCTGTGGCCCAAAGATAAACCTGCTTCTCTAAGGCTAAGATGTCTGCAGAAGAATAAATCAAAAGAGACTCCAGGATGTCCTTTCAGACCTTCTTAAAGGAAGGATAGATTTCCCTCAGGCTATGTGACCCAGACATTCTGGAAGAGACTGATTACTTGCAATCTAGTGATTCCACTGGGGAGGCAGAGCAGGGCCAAACCTAGCTGATGGGAGAAGGGATGACTGAGGAGGTGTCCCAGGTGCTGGGGGAATCCTTTGTCTTTGTGATAACTGCTATGATCATATTAAATGTGAAAATATGGTCACGGAAAAAAAATACAAACACAAAAAACCTCCAAACTAATACAAATTCTGTAGATGTTGCGAGAAAAAAATGGAAAAAGTCAACAAGGATGGACTGGATGGCTAAGGCGGCTAATCACACTCATTTATGTGTCCCGTTCTTAAGTTTCATTAACACGCAGCAGCGTCTACTGTCACTATCATTCAATGTGTCACAATTTACATGTGATAAGTTTTACCTGATTAGCAAAATGCTCCCCCTTGTAAACACAGGCGCTCACAGTAAATTCCTTCCACAAGATTGTTATCGGCTTAAAACTTAAAGAAAAACAAAAAGGAAAGGAAGGGGGTGGGGGTGGAGGAACAGAGGAAACTGGCCACCGCGAAGGCAGATACTAAGGGTTAAAAGTTAGGAGGATCAGGATCGGACCTTTACAGAAACCTGAACAAGGCGTCTGGGGCCAAGCAAACCTCCACCCTTTTTTTTTTTTGGCCTCGATAGAGGTGACGACCCCAGCCTCCCTCCTCACGTCCTCCGCCTTTGGAACGAACTAGGGGAGCTCACGTTAGTGGCAGCCAAGGCGAGGGGCCGGCCTTGCCAAGCTTAAAGAAGGAGGAGGAGAGAAAAGCAAGGATCCCCCACCCACTCCCGGGCGGAGGGGGCGGGCGGAGCGCGTCCCGGCCGGCCGAGCGGTGTCTTCCACTCTGCATCTCTCCGGCAGCGGGCGGAAAGGATGCTGGTCCGCAGGGGCGCGCGCGCGGGGCCCGGGATGCCGCGGGGCTGGACCGCGCTCTGCTTGCTAAGTTTGCTGCGTGAGTATCGCCCGCGCGCTGCACCCACCTGCCTTTGGCCTTGGGGAGGGTCGGGCACTAGGCGAGGCTGAGCGGCCAGCAGAGCTGCGCGGAGCAGGGACCCCTGCCCCACCCACGCTCTGCCGCCCACTGCTGCTCCAGCCCCAGCCAGCGCGCCTCACCTGGGAACGGTGGCGGTGGGAGGCGAAGCCACCCCGGCAGGAATGTGAATTAGCCGAGGTGTGTGAGTCGGAACAAAACGGCTGGCTGAAGTGGACTAAAATAAAGCGAGCTGGAGATGCCAGGGTCTCTGCGTTGCCAAAGGTGCAGAACGCAAAGGTGAAGCCAGAACCAGGGGAGTAGCAGGAAAGTTTTAGAGTTGTCGGTTGATTCAGAACGCAGTGATCTGAAGCGGGATGCCAGGAAAGGCCCAGGCGCCCACCGTTCACCAGGATCGGGGAGCCACTAAGGAATTCAGGGAAAGGCAAACGGGGGTGAGGCGCGGAGTCCAACGCCCAAGAGGCCGGGATTGGAAGGCCGAGTTAGGTGAGCGGAGGAGTTTGGAATGAAGAAGAAAAAAAAAATCTTGTACACAGGATTACAAAGCTAAATTAAAATTGCCCCTGCAGATACCACAGGGATCCCACTGGAGGGGAGGGGATAGGTTGATCATCCGCCCCCGCCCCCTGCGTCCCAATGATCACCACACCTCACCCCTGCACAAACTTACACTTCTTACATTTTGGACTTTTCTTGCTCTGTTCCCCTCCAAATTCTAAAGCTGGTGGACAGGCCAGGACAGTTCCAGCTCACCCACGCTTCCTCTTCTTAAGCCCTTGCTCTCACCTTGGCAAAAAGTAAATAGCACTCAATAACTATACTTAATTGCTTTCATTGGAGGATAACATTCTTCATCTCATCTCAGTTACTGAGAGGTTTTAAACTTAAGAAATTGTTCTCCATTTTGCTTCTAGCTCTCTAGGGCTCCTCCCTACTCAGTGCATCCTACACCACGGCTCTGCAGTGACCTGGACCTGACTGCTAGGCATCTCTACCCAGTTGGAGAGAGCTGGCTATGGCTGGAGGAAGCAGAGCTAGGTTCTCCATTGACCTGTTTGGCAGCCCTGGGCATGCCCTCTTGGGCAGGGGTAAAGTAGTTGCTGAGGGCTAGAACCCCTGAAATGGGTGCTAGACTTTGCCCTCATAGCAAAGTGGCTCCTGGTTCCATCAGATGTTCTGCTCTTTGACCTGGGTCTGGGCTGAGTGAGGGCCCACCCTTTTCTTATTTCCTCAGCTGGCCAGTATCAGTCTTGTCTTGGCCTGCAGCGATGTGGGTGGGAAAGCAACACAACTTCTTCAAAACTTTGGGCAGCTAGGCTGAGAATTTCAGGGTTTCAGCTTTGGGTCCCTATTTCCCACCTTGTTAGACTACTTGGGCCAGTTGTAACTACATGCCTCCCCCAAGAGCTATCTAGGATTCCGTTGAGATGTCTTTTTGTTTTTTAATAGTAGGAGTTGTTTTCTGACCTGGGATCCACCATGGGATTAATGAAATGAGTGACTATGCCTTGAAATGCTATCAATGAACTATTGCAAATATTTGGTGTGATTATTACTGGGAAATTTAGTAGAAGGGGTCTGTTTTCTTATCACTACCCCAACAAAGAGCTTGTTCTGGAGAGGTCTCTTTTCTATCTCTGTGAGAAGTTGGCATGACACAGGTTCAGAGCCTACCACCAGTGGGCTCTTTGGTAAGCATGGGGTAGATAGAAGACCAGAGTCAGGGTGGGGGCTGAGGACCACCAGGCAGCACTGCCTCACCACCAGCTAACCAGAGGAACGCCTTTCAGGTAATTAGGGAGTCCCTTTTATCAGGTTCAGGTTATCTTTTCTCCAAGGCCTCTCTGTCCCCTCATCCTAACAACATCCCCTGGTCCTGCCTGGTCACATTCCTTTTCTTCCTTTGGGTCTTTCATGCCTGCTGACCCCACACCCATATCCTGCCTGGGGCTACGTGTAAGAGGGGAAAAAGAAAAGGGAAAAGAATTTTATCAGATATTTTCCAGAGGGGAGAGGACTCCACCCTTTGACTCTCTGCCACATGGTGAGGAGGAGGAGGAGCAGCAGCCTTGGGGACCTCTGACTAATCCAGTGGTCCCCAGTGTTCCCTGTTGTAGGGCCAACCCAGCTGGCACAACCTTTGTAAACGCACGTCTTCAGCAGCATTCCTGTTTGGCTGATAAAGAGACTGGGGCCTCGGCTTCTTTTTCTTATCCCTTTGGCTCCACCTCCTGGGCCTCCTCATTCATTTGTCCTCGTCCCCTTCCTTTCCTGAGTCTTTGTCTCCAAAAGCTGAGGGCAAGAAGTGCCAAACTCTAGCAGATAAACTCAGGCACAGAGTCCTAGAAAAACAAATTAAAAAGAGGAACAAATTCTACTTCTTAAGTCTCATTGCCTGATTTCCTTCAGACTCTGGGCGGGGAGGCCTGGGAGGCCTTATTTTCAGAGCTGGGTGATTTCCCCAGCTCCTCACTCAGGGTCTTGGGCCTCCTGCTCTCATTGACTTTGGTTCATGGAACTAATTGTCCTGCCCTGTGGCGAACTAAAAATCTGAAGATAGGGAAAAAGAGCAAAGGCACCACCCACCAAAAGAAAATTCTCACAGTCTCTGGGGCAGAATTTCCATGTTTTGGGAGACTTGTGATTTCTCTAATGAGAACATTTCCTCTCTTCAGAGCTGGGAAATGAAAACACATTCTCTACACTACTTAGTCTCAAAGGTCCTGACTGTGTGCTACAAGGAGAAAGACGAATGCGTGGAGGGAAGATGGAGATTCAAACATGTAAGGAGGCATGGCAAGGTGTACTTCCCTGGACCTGTACTCTGAACTCAGGCAGGGAATGAATCACTTCCCTTTGGAGGCAAAGGAAAAGGTCTTATTGGGTTAATTGGGAAGTTGCTCCTTCCTGATTCGGAAAAAAATAATAAAATAAAAATTGATGCTTCTTAGGGAAGCGCGGCATCTTTAGCTAGCTTTGCTCTGTTGCTTAAGAAAATGTGTTAATGGGTTTTGGGTGAGAAAGCCTAGAACCCTGGGCAAACTCTGGATATGCAAAGACAAGAGCCAGAACTGATAAAGGAACCTTGTGTTTGGGTTGGCTAACCAGCTATAGAGCCCAGGAAGAGGATAGAGAGCAGGGAGAGGCACCTGCAGTGAGCAGAGGAACAGTGGTGGGTTCAGAGTAGAAAGAGTGGTCAAGGAGATTCTTTAATATGGATTTATTTATTAGCACAATAATGACTAATAGTTTAAAGTCATGCTCTTATCTCTTCTGGGCTGCATTGTAATCTCACTTCATGCTCAGTGAAAATTGCCTACACACCCTAGACTTATATGTGTGGTTCTCTGGGAAGACTAAAGGACAGAGTGTTTGGCTAGCTGACAGTGCAGTAGTCACGGCACAGAGTCACAGAGGAGAGGGAGGCGTGGAGCTGCCATCCAGGACTCAACAGCGCTAGGAAAATTGAGGTAGAGGCCAACAGGAGAAATATGGCCCCCTCAGCATCCTGGGGTTCCATAGTAAGTGGGAGGGGTCAAGACAAGCTATTTGGCTGTCGAAGGGAAATCTCAGTACTGGAAACATTCAGGCCACGGGCACCTGTTTACACTCACACCTCAGTTTAGCCTTTGTTCTAGTCCCAAACTCACGGCAGGTCACAGGGATGGAAAGACTCCTAACAAGGATGCTTCCCGAATGCTTCCAGGGAATATGGGTGGCTCACCTATCTCCTAAAGTAATTCATCCCACTTTTAAAAATAACTACATGAAGTCCTTTTCTTGTGTTGCTGTGAAATTAACCTTCCTGTCACTTCTAATCGTTGTCCTAGTCTTTGTATTGTCTCAATTTGCTTAGTCTGGTCCTAAAGATTTTTCTAGTTGGCCCGCTAGTTTACAAATTCCTTGAGGGATTTGTTTAAATTGCAGTGCCCCCAATGCCTAAGGGAAGAAAAGAATCAAAATGACTCTTATTTTTGTACTCTCTACAGGACTGAGCAAATTGCATGTGCTTAGGGGGAAAATGCATATACTGTGTAAGCAAGATGAATCTCTTAAGAGTTGTTTCTTCTACTCAGATTCTCCTTTCTCCGATCAACGGTCAGCAAACTTTTCCTATTGTGACACTATAAAGGGCCAAATAGTAAATATTTTATGTGTTGGGGGCCATATATAGTTACAGATGCATATTCTATCTACTTTGTCTTATTCTTGACACTTAAAAAAATATAAAAGCCATGCTTGACAGCCTGGCCATACAAAATCAGCCCCTGGGTGAGATTTGTTCCACTAGCCATTGTGGCTAACTCCTGTCTAGAGGAAGTACCATTAGGACCTCTGCAATGTGAGCTCTCCTATTCCTGATTATCTTTGCTTGGACATGCTGTAATTTTGTGAGTTCCCTCTTAAAACACAGCATCAGAGCGAGAGCCCTCTACCTGGAGGTGGTTGGTCTGAGTATGTCTGACACAGTGTTCTTCAGTCCTACTGTTATCCTGATATCCCATGATTGTGGCTTCTGTGAAACACACAAGTATATGAATGGTCCTGACACTCAAGAAATTTATAATCTCACTGAGGCGACAGTTAGACCTATCCTGAGGAAACAGCTTATGTGAGTTTGTACCAGATGAGTGATAGAGATAAGTCTTCAGGTCTCCAGGAAACAGAAGGAAGGGGCCTGCCCTATCTAACTGTAGCCACTGGGTTTTGAGTAGTTACCAGGCAGGCTAACTGCCTGGCATGTCCTAATCGCCTTTGTTCCTCAAAACAATCAGGAGGTGAGGTCTGCTTTTATGCCCATTTTCCCCTGAGAGGTTTAGAGAGAGCTGAAGTTGCTTTCCAGGACCACACAGCTAGAGCATGGGAGGGAGACATCTGAACTTGGTCTTTTTGCTGGTCTGTCTGCAGAACCTGGGCTTTTTGTTTTTGGGGGTTCTGCCTTCCCATCAATGAGGCTGTGGGCTCCAGTGTCTCACCTCCTGAGGTGAGGGCCCTTCTGCCTAAAATATCTAAGAACTTGGAATAGTGCTGGTCTGGGTTAGATGCTGGCATTTGAATGGATGGATAGATTGGCTAGGAGATCAAGAAACAGCATCAATAAAAAACCAAAACTAAGAACTTCTGTAAAAAATAAGACCCAGTGTAGAAAAATTCAGCCTCTTAGAGTATGGGAATTTGGTTATCGAGGTAATAACTTACTGAATCTGTTACAATTTGTATATCCTCTTTGAAGACCCAAAGAATTTTGAACTTATAAATTATACCTGGAAATCTTTTCAAAATATTACTTCTGCTTCTTTAACGCACACGCACGCACGTGTGCACACATGCACAGAGCTCAACTTTCATGACAGATTATCATGAAAATACTGTGGCTGTCTTGCAACTTAGTGACATCATTAATGTTTGTTAAGGTGTATATATCTTTTTACTCTGACCATAAACGACTCCAGAGATATAGGCTTCGTATTCAAATCTGTTCTTTCATTTATCTCAGTTTCTTAGTTTTCAGCTGTTGCTACTCATTTTTTTTCCTCCAATTTTCCACTTTGGCTGGGATATCAAGATAACCAGGCTTATTAGAATTGTACAAACAAGAATAATTGCCTCTGAAGAAGTACCTGTAGGTTCAACATGTGAATTTTACTCCATAAATTTTGCCTGGGACACCTATTTATCTTAGAATCCTTATTTGCTAACATACTGGTCTATTTTTTCTCCCTTGCTCCAAGTTCCTGGGTCAAGAACATATAGCGAGGGAACATAGTTAGGGTCAAAGGTCAAAATGGAGTCCTTCCAGTGACAGTAAGAATGGACCAATGAATAAACAACAGAAGGCAGCCTTCCTTGCAGCTCTTAAGTTATCCTACAGCTCTTTCTAGTGGTAAGGGTGAGGGTAAGGATTGTTCTTTCTGTCTTTCAGGGAACGGAATGGAATTTCACTGATGGTGTTTCAGCATCTGAAAGGCTCTTGCTGACTATAGGCTGCTTTTACTCCCCTACAGAGTTAGGGTCAGAGATGATATAAAGAAAGGGCAGTGTTTGATGGTTTATAGGCCATGGAGGTATATGGGAAGAGAGGATAAAAAGAGACCTGTGGTAAGTCTTTACTCTTAGGATGGCATTCCTCTAGGAATGCTCCATCTCTGCAAAGGGAGCCCTGGAAGCTCCCAGGGCCCAGGCCATGGAGTCCCCTTGCTCTGAGCCACTTCACTCATGGCTAATGGCTTAATCTTGTCTTTCTGCACTTCATTTTTGCTCTGTTTTCTCCAGTGTCTCAGAAGCTTCTCTGTTCACCCTAGGCTCAGAACAGTGAATCTGAAGTTGGGTTGCCCTTCTTGGTAGACAGATCCTGCTGCCTGGACCTTGGTGCTTGGCTAAACAGTGGGAGGGAGAGGCTGCTGTAGCTGGGAGTCTGTCCACATCTAGTCAGTAGCTGGCCTGGATACAGTGTTGCTTCACTCTTTTGGAACAGGCACCTCTGTCCTCAGAACTAGCAGTAGGTTTCTCTTCACATCTGGAAAAGTTCAGAAGTGTTTGTCTGGGTGAAGGAGCCCCTTGGGGGAGGGGATTCAAAAGCATGACATCATTTCGGCCAGGCCCAGCTTCTTTTCGAGAGGGAAAAGGGATAGGCCAGACTGGACCAGATGGGATTCCCAGGATTTGACCCAGTCCAACAGAACAGGGAGGCTGTCACAGGGGAGGAATTACAGGGGTGTCTTGGAATAGTGTCTTGAGAGTAGTGTCCTCATTACCATCATCTGCCCCTATAATGGATACATATCTTAGGGTCAGATTGGTTCAGGGTCCTATTTAAAGAAGGAAGTTTGGGTTCAAAACCTATTTTATTTTGATCAAGCTACCTTCACATGTGAATCCACATATCCTTTTGTCTCCAGAGGTTTGGAGGATGCATTCAGATGTTTAGAAGCTTAAACCCAACCCTGGCCACTTTGCTGCACCTACTCAGGAGTTGATTAAACTTCAGTGTCCATTGCTACTTGCAGGGGTTTTCTAGGTTATTCAACTCTAGGAAGGAGAGATAATACCTTCTTCCCGCAGCTTACATGATGCATAATGTTAGGATTTGATAATTGCACTCACCATGACTATCAGTCTGCTTACAGCACATTGTAGAGGAAGGTGGAAGGAAAAGGTGGGAGAATGAGACCATTGCCATCACCCTTAGGGGATGCATTCTTGGCCTCAGGCTAACTGACTTGAAGTGAAAAGTCTGACTTCCCTCTGGATGCTGAGGGAAATAAGAGGTTTCATTTCTACATTATTGTTTACCTTGGAAACTTCTGAAAGTACAGTCTTAGCTCTCAACCAGGAACATTTAGACAACCTTTAGAGTATCCTTTCTTTGTAGATGGTACTCCAGGTGTGAACTCTGGATACCAAGCCTACCCTTAATGTTGATAGGATCCAAGGCCAGGGTACAACAGGGACCCACATCCTGTATGTCTAAATATTTCACAGTTATAAAACAGGCCAAGTCACTATTCACAATAGCCAAGTTATGGAAACAGCCAAGATGCCCCACCACCAACGAATGGATTAAGAAAATGTGGTATCTACACACAATGGAATTTTATGCAGCCATGAAGAAGAACGAAATGTTATCATTCGCTGGTAAATGGATGGAATTGGAGAACCTCATTCTGAGTGAGGTTAGCCTGGCCCAAAAGACCAAAAATCGTATGTTCTCCCTCATATGTGGACACTAGATCAAGGGCAAACACAACAATGGGATTGGACTTTGAGCACATGATAAAAGCGAGAGCACACAAGGGAGGGGTGAGGATAGGTAAGACACCTAAAAAATTAGCTAGCATTTGTTGCCCTTAACGCAGAGAAACTAAAGCAGATACCTTAAAAGCAACTGAGGCCAATAGGAGAAGGGGACCAGGAACTAGAGAAAAGGTTAGAACAAAAAGAATTAACCTAGAATGTAACACATGTGCACAGGAAATTAATGTGAGTCAACTCCCTGTATAGCTATCCTTATCTCAACCAGCAAAAACCCTTGTTCCTTCCTATTATGGCTTATACTCTCTCTTCAACAAAATTAGAAATAAGGGCAAAATAGTTTCTGCTGGGTATTGAGGGGGGGAAGAGGGAGAGGGTGGAGTGGGTGGTAAAGGAGGGGGTGGGGGCAGGGGGGAGAAATGACCCAAGCCTTGTATGCACATACAAATAATAAAATAAAAATAAATAAATAAATAAATAAATAAAACAGGCCAAGTAACTGAAAAACGAAACATCTTCTAGCTTCGTATCTTGACATACATAATGCCTTCATGGCCATCTGTTAGACTGTCTTTGAATTTGGGACTCTCACACTCTTAGAAATCAGTGCACGATGTGGCTGATGAGGAAGACATGGACCCTGGCCCCAGCCTAACTCCTTTCTCTTCCCTCTACCCATGACTCTGGCTACACCATGGGGATTCTATATGCATGCATGGACACCTGAGTGCTAGCCCTCTTTTCTCCCTGCAGGCAGCCATCCCTTAGCCACCTCTGAGTCTTGGGGTATACACCTTCATCCTTGGAAGGATGAGCTGGAAAGAAAGGTCCATGCAGGTCCTTGATGTGAAAAGAGAGCCATTTGAGCGAGAAGTTCTAAGACTTCGGGTCCTCAAAATGTAATCTGGGAGAGAGGGCACATCTTGATTGGTTCTTACAGGAGAGACATTTTATTATAGTAATTTACCATTTTTTAGCTAGATGTTCTCTCATTGATTGTCCCAACAATCCACATAAGATAGACAAAAAAGACCCTTACTTACATGAACTAAATTACATAGTTACTGGCAGAACCAGATGAAGTTCTCTTTCTTCCCGCCACATTTGATGAGAAACCAGGCTTTGTGCTCTCTCTCTAGTCTGTCTGTGGCTTTCCTATCTCAGAATCTCCTAAGAGAATCTCAGAGTCACTTTGCTGCACTTGAGGAAAGGAGGATGGGCTTGGTCTTGAGGGAGAGGATGAGGAGAGGAGAGTTTGGGGATTAAGAAGACCGACAAGGACAGAAGACTTCTCAAGGGATTGGATAGAGAGAGCATGAATCTAGTGATTACTCCAAAAGTTAGTATGTAGGATGGAGGGTGACCAAAAAGAGAAGGCTATATCAAAAGAGAAGTGGGAACGTGCCCTTTCTCCCATTTTCAATCTTTGCAATATCTATACAGGTGTAATTTTCATATTTTAGGATCTTACTAAACACATTGTGGACATTGCTTCATATTTCCATGCTGCTACAGTTTTCATAAATTACTTGAGATGATTATGTTATATTAAGTGCATATGCCATTTAGTTTATTAAAATTTATTTTGTAGTCTGCAACTTTCCCTTCATAAATAAATAAAACAATGCACTTATGCACTTAGAAATTTTTTATTTTTATATTTCCTTACAGAAAATCTAGTAGTAGGAAATTAGTCCACTGTCCCGGAAGATATTCTTTTGGTGCTACTGGAGTTTGAACTTGGCCTCACACTTGCTAGGCAGCTTCTCTATCACTTGTGCCATGTTTTCAGTCCTTTTTGCTTTAATTATTTTTCAGATAAGAGTTCCTTGATTCCCCTTCCCCCCATGGCTGGGATCACAAGTGTGTGCCACCATGCCTGGCTTGTTTGTTGAGATCACACTAATTTTTTGCCCAGTTTGGTCTGGAACCCCCAATCTCCACCTCCTGAGTAGCTAGGATTACAAGCATGCATCACCACACATGGTAAGAGAGGATATTACGATGGCTGCCGCACTGCCAGGAAAGCAGGGAATGTTCTGACAGACTCCACGTGAAGACAGGAAATTGAATCAAGTGATGTCATGCAACTCCAGGAAGTGTCTAGGTTCTGACTTGTCCTCCTTGTTCCCTGTAGCCTCTGGGTTCACAAATGTGGACAATTCTACTGCTGTGACCACAAAGTCATCCACCGTGGGAATATTTTCAACTGTTTCTACAAATGTATCCAAGGAGGAAATTACAACACCAACTACCCCTGGAAGCACTAGTCCCCAATCTGTCTCTCGGGACTGGAATGGGACCACACCAGCCGTCTCAGGTAAAGAGAGATGCTCAGGTTCAAGGGAGATGCAGCTGGTGCATGAATAAAATGTTCAGAATTGCTGGCACTGCTCCCCCACACCCCACAGATGGAGCCACACATCCCCCTGCAGTAGGGCCTTGTGATCATGCTTGGGTACCCTGAAGTAACATCTAGGTGATTCTTACGGTGATGAGTTTCTGAGGCCAAGCCGACCCCGAGCACTAGTGCTCCCTGTACCCCTCCCCTCATGCTGAGTTCAGCTGATAACAAATCAGATGAGGCTTCCAGTGGGGTCTCTGATCTCTTCTAAATGAAGAAAGATGGCTTCAGGACTTTTGTTTCTCAAGGGTAGACCGGCGTCTAGTTGACTTTCAGAATCCAGAGGGCACCTTGAATGCATTTTCTTTTATTTTTTATATGTTTATTTTTTTGTTGGCACTGGGGTTTGAACTCAGGGCCTCACACTTGCTAGGCAGGCAATCTTACTGCCTAAGGCACTCCGCCAACCCTTGCTCGTGATTTTGTCTTTTTTGAGATAGGGTTTCTCAACTGTTTGCTCGGGCTGGCTTCCAACCATGATCCTCCTGATCTCTGCCTCCTGAGTAGCTAGGATTACAGGTGTGAGCCTCCGCCACGTGGCTTCAACAGCTGTTGGCTGTGGTTCCAACAGCTGGCTTGAAATGACATCAAGTAACTGTTATCTCCCCCAGCTCCCATTTCTATGTAGAAGTCCTTGACCATGTCCTGAACTGAGATTGTGTGTGTGTGTATCTGTATGTGTGCCGTATACACCTATGCTTTGGTCTTTTCCAGAGACTACTGTCAACTTCACATCTAACTCTGGGATCCCTCCAGTCTCTGTGACCACAGACTCTTCTGTCCAATCAAAGACCTCTTCGGCCTTCACAGTGGCCACCACCCTAGCCAACAATTCAATTTCAGAGATGACCTTGAAGCCCAGCGTGCCACCTGTAAATGTTTCAGATTACTCAATCAATAGCACCACCGTAGTGATGACATCACCCCCTGAACTTTATCCACCATCTTCTCTTGCCCCAAGTTCCATCAAGGTGGGTGAGTTGCACCAAAAATGGCAGATGCCCCTCACTTCATAAGTATGCAAGCAATCTGTCTCTCTTCCCCTCCATCTCTCCTCAATACCTGCCAATGAGATTTGTGTCATGTGGGAACCAACATGGAAATATGTACTTAAATATTGCTGGGAGAGTTAGAAAGAGGACAGAGCTGGGTAGCAAGGCTTTGGGTATTGCTTTCTTGGTGGGGGTGAAGTGGAGTGGCAGTTAAGAAGTAAAAGAGATTCTCAGGAATCCATACATTCCTCTGTGGTTCCTTATAGTATCCATGGATACAGTATTGACCAGGGCGACATTTCCTTTTGGGAACATTTATAATCCATCTCTAGTTATTGGGCTGCTTCTCATAACATGTTTAAGGCAAATAGTAAATAGTGTTTTCTTTACATGAGAGAGTTTGGTGTTTGTGCCAGACAGAGTGGCAGTGAGGACTTCACTGGCAGAGGTGAGAACTGGGCACACAGGGATTGTGAGCTCAGCTTGCCCTTCTCGGACTCGAGGCCTGTGGCTGTCAACAGCTTTCAGCATGAAGGGCAGAAAATATGAGGGCGTGGAGCCTAAGGGCAGGCATGAGGGACCTACCTGTTGGGTTTCTGTTTCTAAAGAGCCAGCATAGGAATCTGGAGAGTCTTAGGGGCCAGGAGGAAAACAGATGTCACCAGATCTGCCTGGCTGCCTCATTATCTTTTTGCATATATGGCCTTCCAGAAAGTGTGAACTGATTGCAGCCCAAATGGGAAAAGATCTTCCCATCTCCCATTTCTGCATCATCTAAGCCAATGTTTTTCCAAAATAGCTATGTGCCTGCAAGTCCAGGCTGGTAAGAAAAGGTTTAATTACCTGATGGGGAAAGTGTGTGAGGTGGAAAAAGACAGTAGAACTATGTGCTGAGTATCCTTTATAGAAAATGCTTCAGACCAGAAGTGTTTTGGAATTTGAATTTTTTTTTTTTAATTTTGGAATATTTGCATATACATAGTGAGGTATCTTGGAGATGAGACCCAAGTCAAAACATAAAATTCGTCTGTGTTTCAAGTACACCTTATGCACATAACCTGAAGGCAGTTTAACACAGTATTTTTCAGTAATTTTGTGCACAAAATAAAAGTTTGTAGTGTGAAATTTTTTCCTTATGGTATCACGTGAGCACTCAAGAAGTGTTAGATTTTGGAGTATTTCAGCATTTGGATTTTTAGTCCTCTGGCAGATTTAAAAATTTCCTTTTTCCTAAAATCTTTTAAGAGAGTACTTCACAGAAATCAAGGTGGAAAAATGGTGGGGAAGGAATGAGGGGCACAGATATGTATTTACTTTGTTTTTGTTTTAATACAGGGAGAAATCAAATGCTCAGGAATCAGAGAAGTGAGACTTTCTCAGGGCATCTGCCTGGACCTCAACGACACCTCCAGCTGTGTAAGTCCACCCTACCCCCTCTGTTCCTCCCCTGCCTCCCCACAAACCTTCCAGCACCCTTAAGCCCATCTTGGATTGGGCTGCACTTTGGTTAAGGGCCTGGGAGTTGAGCCGGGTCAGGCTACTTCTGATATTGACTTTGGGTTTAGGGAGTAAGAGGCCCCATCTGGTGGGCAAAAAAGGCAAAACCAATTTTAATTAAATTTTATTGTTACTTGACAGATTTAAGTTTGTTTTCATGTTCAGAAAGTCCTTCTCACTATCCAGATGTAAACTAAAATGTAAGGTCGTGTGTTGTTATTACCGACATAAAACTCTTTATACAGTTATTATGTTGTGCTGCTGTATTTTCTGTATAAATATTTTTCCCAACATTTATTAATCACCTGCTTTGGAATACTTTTTTTATATGACTTGGGCATATTCAGAGGTATTTTATTTGTTCAAATTGATTATGCTTTTGTCCACTTTTAATTTTTAACTTTCTTGTGCTTTTACGTTGCAGTGTTTTTAATATCCAGTCAGACAAGTCTTTCTTCATTATAATGCTATTTGAATAATTTATAATTATTCAAAATAATGCTATAAAAGGCATTATTTTTCATTTTTTCCACCTTCTTTGTACTTCTCAGTATTTTGTTTTGGTTAAAAAAATTTTTCTCCCTATGGGCTCTTTGTTGGTGTGTTCTTTTCTTGCTTTCTTGCTGGGAATTGAACCCAGGACCTCTTCACACGTGCTGGGCAAGCATTCTACCTCTGAACCACATCTTTTCCCCTATAGTTTTGCTGGATTTTTAAAAGATTGTTTATAACACAGATATCCCACTTATATTCTAATTGATCATTGCTGAGATGTTAGAAAGTTGATGGAATTTTTGCTTTTTTTGGGGGTGCTGGGGTTTGAACTCGGGGCCTCACTTTTGCTAGGCAGGCACTCTACCACTTGAACCACTCCACCAGCCCTGTTAATAGAGTTTTGAATAATTATGTTGGGTTGCTCATTTTTTGAATTTGTTTATTAATTCCAAGAGCTTCTCAGTTGGTTCTTTTCATTTTTAAGGTAAATTATCTACCACAATCTGTAATTTCTTTCTTGTTCTTTTTAGTAGTCATGCCTCTTCTTTCAGTTTCTTGTTACTGCATTGGTAACAACGTATATGGTGTACCTATGAATTTTTAATGATGATAGGAGTATTTTCATTGCTTTGTTTCAGTAAATCCAATATCCTGACAGTAATGAGGCTCTGGAGGAAGGATGGGGTGAAGAAAAGAACAGTATTTACTTTTACAAGAAGAACATTTTCTTAGAAATTGAGAATCTACTCATATAGGTGACATGTAGCATGCATAGATTAGAAAGCTAGTTTGTAGAGGGCATAACTAGTTGGCCATTCCAACTACTGATATCTTACCTCCAGCCATCAGTTGGGTCTCTATCACTTACATATCTTTAAAAATTATACCTAGCAGACTCATTTAACTTCCAGCATTTAGAAACAGAACTCATGAAGGTACAAGTTTGCAGAATGGAATAACTCAATGCAGTTTTCAAAACAGTTAAGTTAAACATGAGTAGACAGTGTACAAGCAACACCCAGTGTGTTGTTGATGCTGATTTTCAACCTTACTCATTAGGAAAAAAAAATTGTCAAATCCTTTGTTAATGATAATTAAGGAAAATGGCCATCTCCTTCCCCCCAACCCCCATGATCTTGGTCAAGCATTTATTTTCCTGGGCATCACACAGGTCTGGGTCAGAATTGTAATACTTTGTGCCTGGGATCTAGAGCTAAGAGCAGCTCTATGTGTCTGTCTGCTGCTGCTCCTCAAAATTCACATTTGACCTTGTCATTGTCTAAGATAAGGGCTTCTCCAGAAATAACTCCTCTTTCTCACTATGCTGTCTTTTCTTGCTGTGGGCTTTGCCATGGATCTGTTTTGTGCCACAGCTGAGGTCTATGCATGTTCCTCTGAGATTTGGGGAGGATCTGTGGGTGGTAATTTAGAAAGAGAGCAGCTCCCCGGATGTCCTAAGCTAGGAAAGGCTTCTTTACCACCTACGAGAACCATGGGGGTGGCAGCACACGTACAGTACTGTTGTTCTTCAGAGATTTCCTCCCTTGTCTATTCCCTTCATGAGGGTGCCTCCCCAGTCCCCAAGTAGCAATGCCTTCTACTGTGCTCCAGGCTAATTCTTCCTCAGTCAGCAATCCTGGATCCAGAATCTGTAGCCATAGCTCCCAATGGCATCCCAGATCCCCTGCGTGGGTCCTCCTCCCTGCTTGTCTGATAACTAGGTTGGTGCAAAGGCTGTGAGAGGTACAATGCCTCTTCATTTGCCTTAGGCTGCAGTTACACTTTTGATGTCAGGGGACCTTAAGGTGTTGGTTCTACTGGTGGGAGACTCGGGCCCTCCCACAGCCCAATGAGGAGCATGAGGGATTTATTTTCCTCTACTTAGTTTTCCCTATCACATCCTACGTGCTCTTGTTATGTCGTACCCACCTGTATCCAACACTGGCCTATACTGAACTGTGTGTGCGTGGCGCATGGTTCTTGGTTCTCCATGTGCTCATTTTGCACTGGTGCATAGTGAGCACCAAGATGGCAGCTCTCCCTATGGGTTGTCAAGGCCTGTCTTCTGTCCAAGCATTGTAGACATTGACAACCCAGTTACTCTGCATTTGCTATCTATCCTTCACCTCTGGGCAGCCAGGGGAAGGGAAAGTGATGCTGCACTATTCTCAAGCACCTGTTTCCACCTCTCAGAACCCTCATTAGAGCAAGTCTTGTTGAGTATCATTCTTTCTGCTGTAGTATCCACTTAATTTAGGCTTTGTAGTTGAAGTTTCCCAAATAGTTTACTAAAATGTGAGATTATCTTCTGCTATACCCATTTGAATAGGGGAATTCACCAAAATGTTTTAAAATTGCAAAATAGACATGACATAAAATGTGTCACCTTAACTTTTTCAGGTCTGGGATTTGATCTCAGGGCACCCAACTTGCTAGGCAGGCTCTCTACCTACCATTTGAGCCACGCCCCAGCCCTTTTTTGCTTTAGTTATTTTTCAGGTACAGTCTTGTGTTTTTACCCTGAACAACCTAGATTGTGACCCTTCTATTTATGCCTTCTGCATAGCTGGGATGACAGGCTTGTGCCACCATGCCAAGCTTGTTGGTTGAGATGGAGTCTTGCCAACTTTTTCACCCAATCTCTGCTTCCTAAGTAGTTGGGATTACAGGCACTGCGCCCAGCCGCCTTAACCATTTTTAAGTGTACAATTTAGTTGTGATGGATACCTTCACACTGTTGTGAAACTGGTCTCTAGATCTGTCTACATCATCCAAACAAACAACTCCCCACTCTCCCAGACCTTGGCAACAACTGTTCTACTTTCTGTCTCTATGTACGTGGCTACTCCATATAGTGCATATGGGTAGAATCCTACAGCATTTGTCTTTTTTGTGACTGGCTTATTTCACTTAACATAGCGTCGTCAAGGTTTATCCATGCGCAGTGTATGTCATGAATCTCTTCCTTGTTAAAGCTGCATAATATTGTATATGTGTACTTCATTTTGTTTATTCTGTCATCCATTGATAGACTTTTGGGTTTTTCCTGTCCATTAGCTGTTGTAAATAATGCAGCTATGAGCATGAGTGTGCAAATATCTTTTTGACACCCTGATTTCAGTTCCTTTGGGTATGTAACCAGAAGTGGAATTACTTAGTCATATGGTAATTGTCTTTTGAGTTTTTCAGGAGCTATCACATTGTTTTGTTTATGTTGTTGTTGTGGTTTGTGGTCCTGGGGATGGAACCCAGGGCCTTGCACAGCCCAGGAGATCATTGTACCACTGAACTACACCCCCAACTCGCCAGTTTTTTATAGCGACTGCACTGTTTTCATATTTCCGTTAGTAGTGCACAAGGCTTTGGATTTCTCCACATCTTTGTTACCATTTGTTCTTTTCTGTTTTGTTTTTGTTTTTTATAGTAGCCATCCTAGTGGGTATGAGATGGTATCTCAGTGTGGTTCCAGTACACATTTTCCCTGATGATCAAAGATGTTGAAAATCACATCTTTTCATGTACTTAGAGGCCTCGTGTGTGGGTGTGTGAATGGGGATCAAAACCTCAGCCTTGTACATACTAGGCAAACACTCTACCAGTGACCTACACCTCTAGCCTTACTGGCTATTTGTGTATCTTTGGAGAAAGATACAATTGAAGTCTTTTTTCCCACAAATTTGTTTTTTAGAACCACTACATCTGTTTCGTGCCACATAGTTCATACATAGAGTTTGTATCTATTCAACTTGTAAAAGATGAATACAGTTAGATTGTTTGAGTATTTTCACAAGTTTCTATCTACTCAGCTAACTCACATTACCCTTATTCTGTCACACTGACTTACTTCATCTGAGGCAGACTGCCTCCAGCCCTTGAATCTCACATCCCCAATCCCTGCTTTCCTTGCCCAAATACTAAAGGTCAGTTTTCATGCAGAAAATTCAAGTCACAGATGAAAGATTTATGAAGGCAGTATGTCTACTGGAAAAGAGCCTGGGACATGGAGACAATCTAACTTCTTGCCCTTGGTTCCCTGCCCACTTGTAATGTGACTTGTGACAGACCCCTTTATTATTCCAATCCTTCTGTAAACATGGCTTTTACCTGCATTGTCAAACTCACATAGCAAAGAAGATAAAAGATCTTTCAAAGGGGTGGTTGGGAAGAGACAACTGATCCTAGAGTCTCAATCCGGTTTTTTACCTACATTATCAAACTCACCCAACAAAGAAGATAAAAGTTCTTTCAAAGGGGTGGCTGGGGGAAGATGACTGACCCTAGAATCCTGGCATTGGAAAGTACCCTAGAGGTCACTTGGAAAAATGCCTGCCTCTTTCCCTCCCCACCCCAATGCTTCATGTTTTTGGAAATGTTGTAATGTTTGAGGATGCTACTCTGGAAAGGCTAGATGGCTTTCTTATTTCTGCAAAGTAACATGTGTGAGCAGATGTAGTTAGGGGCTCGCAAATCTGATTCTCATGAAGCAAATGGTGAGGTTGTGGCTTCCTCCTACCCACTCTTCCATGTTTGCCCACAGCGTCTCTTGGGGGAGGATGTTTATTGCAGGCATCCGGAGAAGCATTGTGCTTTGTTCAGGATCCACCTGCTTCTCTCTGGGCCCAAACACAATTCGCTGGGGCCGTTGGATTCCAGAGTGGGAGGCTGGCCGCTGTTATTCCCTTGAATTTAGTCCAAGAAACTAAGTGAGGGGTGGAGGGACTCCGTGTAGAGGCCAACCAGTTGGGGTGTTAAGTTGAATAACAAGTCCTTGGGTTCTTTTGCTTATTTGTTTGGTACTATGATCTGTGCATTTATTCTGGGTTCAAAATTATGTAAGGTGCACCCTCACCCCCACCTATACACACACACACACACACACGCACACACACACACACACACCCGTCTTGGTCTAGTCAGAAAGACTCAACTAACAAAAAGGCAGAATATGATCAAAATATGGATTCTAGATAGTATAGTATTATTGTGATTATTAGTAATAATCATAGCAGCTGCTGTTTATCTAGAGCCCTCTAGGTTGCCAATGTATTGGACATTTTTCATACATCTCTATAGTCACCATAGCAGTCCAGTTTACAGCTGAGGAAACTGATGCTCAAATGAGTTGCATGACTTACAAAGATTGTAGTAAATGACAGAGCAAAGATTAATGCTCAGTTTAATTGAAGACGTAGCAGAAGATAGGATTGACTTTCATGGAGGAGATGAGATTTGAGTTGGGGGAGGGGATGCAAAGGAGAAGGCAGTGTTCTCTGGGCTCCATGTAACTGGGGTTAAGATGGTGGTTGCTCTGACATACAGGGGCTTTCCTTATTAGCTTAAACTGCACACATTCTATCCCTTCTTCATTCCTGTTGTATGAAGCTTTTGCTAACCCCAAGCCAGATGTGTCCTCACACCCTTTTGCATGCCCTTAGCCCTTAGCCCTTTGTTTGTTTCTTTCTTATGACACTTATCATGTAAATAGTCTTTGTGGCTCAGTTTCCTCATCTACAAAATGAAGAGAATGATAGTGTCCATCTCCTAGGGTTGTGGGAGATCTAATGAGTAAGCACAGGAAAAGCTTTTAGGACAGCCAGAGCACTGTGTCTCTCTCTGTCTATGTCTCTAAGGAGACACAGTAAACATTATTTATTCATTGACATGCATACAAACTCATGAGTTTTGATCATGTGAATTCATAGATTCCCCCCTCTTGTCCCCATCCCTACCACCACACAAGATACAGAAAATACACATTTACCCTCCTCTTCCCCCACCCCCTGCCAACCCACACATACAGTGTCTTACATTCAGGGCTCAATAAATGTCAGAACTGCTGAATATTTTCAAGATGTAGCTCCTTAGCAGTGGGGAGGTAGGGGAAGAGGCCATTTTGTTTGCTTGTTTTAGATCCCGCAGGAGCTCTGCCCTTCTGTCTCTTTCAGAAAGTACACATATTTCAACCAGAGACACCTCAGAAGTCCAGAGTCATCTTACTTAGTGAGGTCTTTTTTTCCCTCATCCAGAAGGCCTGCTGCTAGGAAATGTGTTTTGTCTGAGGGGAAGCATGAAAGGCTCTCCTGAGAGAACTGGTTCTAGAGAGGTCTATCCAGTTCTAGGATAGAAGACAACTGGACATGTCCAATGTGTTCAAGACTACCTATTGCAAATGCTGAGTCAGATTTCTCCAGAAGCAGAATCTTTATCCAAGGACTTAACTGGAAACCCTGCAGAACTGATCCTTTTCCTGAAGGATGAAGCAGCAGGAGTCTGAGAATTCATTTCTCTGTGACCTTGTCTTTTAGAAGATTTTTGAGGTTACTGTTGGATTCATTTCACTGTGACCTGCATTGGCCAGCCATGCTCTTCTGACCTCATCCAAGCCCAGTTATTTTCCCTTCGATCCCTCAAATTCCAGCGGGGGCCCAAAGCCAATTTTAACGTTGAAGAGCAAAGGAGTCTGGGTTTTCCTTCTTAAATTTTGTCATAGGAAAGTACCTAGGCTCCTTTCCAATTGGGAGGCCCTCTGGCCTTGCCATGAGCTGCAGTTCTACCCGCAAACAGGAAGCTTTCTCCTGAACACAGGCTCAGGTCTTAGGACTGTCACACGCCCCAGCAGTTTTCTCCTAACAGGAAAGTTGTAAGAGCCAGCAGGCATTTCCTTCTCTGCCATCTGCCATCCGGACAGTTTCAGTTTTGCAGGAGAACCTACTGTGTTTGGAGGCTGCTGGAACAAGTCCTGGGGGGTGGGAGAGCAATGCTTTCAAGTCATATCTTTCCTGGGACCTGGCTGTTGAAGAACAATTAGAGTTTATCTTCTGAGTCTGAATTCCCAAGTCTTATGGATCAGTCAGGAAGTTGGAGAAAGATCTATGAGCTTCCGTAAAACCGGGTTCCATGATTTGGTGGACAGGAGAGATGAAAGACGCCATTTTAGTGTGAGCAGTGCTCTTCTGAGATGCCATTGGACAGTAAAACGGAGGACAGCCTGGAGGATGCCACAGAGTATAGACTCAGATTTGCTTCCCACTCCTCACCTCCTTTGGTTTTTCTGATATCATTTGGGGACATTGCAACCTTGAAACAAATGATTTTTCTCTTATTATTGCATTATGAATATCTTTCCATTGTCGTTAATTTCTTTTGAATTCAATTTGAATAGCATGTATGTATATAAGCAATCCTTAAGATAAATTTTCCTAGGTTTGTCCTGTGATATCTTAAATATAATTAATAGGTATATGTGTTGGTATGATGAAATTTCTAATTTTCTTCTTACTGTGTTGTCGTATGTGTACAGTTTACAGTCATTTATTTTTCTGTTGGAATTTTAGAAAGAATGATTTCCTGGGGAGGGGGTAATAGTGTGACTTTAATCGGTATTATTACCTGAGACAATGAATGCAGTTCAGGGATACTAGTAATTTTGTTTCCTGTTCCTCATTTCTGTCTTCTCAGGAGGACTTTAAGAAGGACAAAGGAGAGGACCTGATCCAAATCCTTTGTGGGAGGGAGAAGGCTGACTCTGAGGCTGGGGTCGGCGTGTGCTCTTTGCTCCTCGCCCAGTCTGAAGTTAAACCTCAGTGCATGCTATTGGTCTTGACCAACAGAACAGGTAAGGGCACACCTGTCCAGAGGGGTTGGGAGTGGATAGGGTGAGGTTTGAATATCATAAGTGGAGAGCCCACATCTTAGCTCCAGAGAGCATAGGTGCTAAGGAGAAGGATTTGGCTGAGAGGGACCCCTGGGGCTTTCAGAGCTTCTTCTAGAATAGCAGAGGAGAAAAATGAACTGGTTTAGCAACCCCTGTTTCTAATTCTAGAACTTTCCAGTAAACTCCAACTTATGGAAAAGCACCAGTCTGACCTGAGAAAGGTAAGTTCACTGAGGTGGTGGGTCTCAGAGGGAATTGTGGGTCAAGGAGTTCATGGAATAGGGAGGAAGGGATTATCCTCACTATGCCTTCCCTTCCTGCCTTTCTGGCCTTCTCTAAAAGACCACCTTTCTAAACTTGGACCAATTAAGAGATGTCAGTCTTAGTACTGTTTCAGAAATCCCCAAGGTCAATGTCCTCTTATATCTCTTCACTGTTGAGTCACACCCAGGGGTTTGGAGTGGGCTGGGCTCTTTTCCTTGAACTCCCTTTCCCCAGGTGACAGACTGACTTTTCTACATCTTCTCTTCAAGCTGGGAATCCAGGATTTCACAGAACAAGATGTTGGGAACCACCAGAGCTATTCCCGAAAGACCCTGATTGCACTGGTTACCTCGGGCATCCTGCTGGCTATCTTGGGCACCACAGGCTATTTCCTGATGAACCGCCGCAGTTGGAGCCCCACAGGAGAAAGGCTGGTCAGTTCTGGGGTCTAGGACAAAGGAAATGGAGGTAGCAGTCTTCTGGGGAAATCCATGGATGTCATGGAGTGGGAGGAGAAACACCAGAAAGGGCATTTTTATGGGCACACATGCCTGCAGACACTGTACTCATGGAAGAATGAAAACAATATATAGTACCTGGTGGGGAGGCATACTTTCTAGCAGATGGTTCATTTCATCTGTTCATTATGCCCAGGGATAGTTTAGCTGGGTATAACCAGAATAGGCTGCCAAGTCAGCCATGCTAATTTGCAAGCATATTAAATGCCCTATGGATGCCACTTTGCTCATAAGAAGGGAACATATGGAAGAAAAATTTACTCTTGAAGTGTTTTGGATGAGGCAGAATAAGGCTGAGGTTTTACCCTTGGCCTCTGGCTGATACCTACTCTGGGGAGGTTATTCCATGCTTGGGACTGCCAGCTGTCCTGTGGGAACTGGCTTCTGAGCTGCAGTGGCATGGTGTGGTGCCTCTTCTCTGTCCTTTCTCCTCTAGGAGCTGGAACCCTGACTGCCCTTCAGGAAGCGAGGATTCTCACATTCAGCTGCACACTCCCCTCCCTTCTGCTCCCTTCCCCAGCTTCTTTTGGGCTCCCCTCACCCTCATGCAGCGCCTCACACCCCTGCTTACCAGATAATGCTACTTTATTTATACACTGTCTAGGGCGAAGACCCTTATTACACGGAGAACGGTGGAGGCCAGGGCTATAACTCAGGACCTGGGACCTCCCCTGAGGCTCAGGGAAAGGCCAGTGTGAACCGAGGGGCTCAGGAGAACGGGACCGGCCAGGCCACATCCAGAAACGGCCATTCAGCAAGACAACACGTGGTGGCTGATACAGAATTGTGACTTGGCTGGGTGGGGCAAGACTGGGCAGTGTCCAGAAAATTGGCCTCTCCCTGCCTCCGATTATGTGCTGCCTCTGTGCTGGAGGTAACAACCCTCATGTCCTACCTTTTCTCACTGTACACACCTTAGGCGCTGTTCCTGGAGTCCTCTACCTTTGAGGGAAACAGGTGAACTCCTGTCCTTTATGCATTCAGCTCCCTGAACCGAGTCTGGAATTCTTTGGATAAAGGTGTGGGATGCAGGGGAGAGGCCAAGGGAAGTTGACAACCTTGTAGCATTTGTATCCAGACTCCCTACCCCTTCTCTCCTTCCTGCCTTATTACAGGAGTCCCTAGGGGGAAAGGATGGGCTTTTCTAAGCTACAGCTTCCTCCCAGGAGGCTTTGGTTTTTACTGTTTCTTCATTATATTTTCTTTCTCTACTTTAGAGAATCCAAGGTAACTCCCTTGCATTTGCTGCCTTATAATAATAAGCCAGAAAAATGTGTTGTCTTAAGTCACATCCCTTGTCTGTCCTCCAAGACACTGTGGATTTGGTCACCAGCTTCCCAGTTGTTCTCCAGTTACTTTGAGCACCGTGTGTCCCTTACATTCACTCATTCTCTCTCTCTCTCTCTCTCTCTCTCTCTCTCTCTCTCTCACACACACACACACACACACACCCCATTGTACCAGCCAGTACAGGTTTCTGACTGAAACCTGGAACTGGGCTCCATATTTTAGAACAAACAGCTCAGTCCTGGTCTCTCAGGGGCCACATAGAAACTCTCCTTAGGTTCAAGTGGATGGGACCATGGGACCTGATCTGTAAGCTGAGCGTCTTCGACCTGTGATCTTCTGAGGAATCTCCATCCATGGCTTCTTCCTCCTGCAGCTGACTCCTGGGTTGAGCTGTGGCCTCAGTCCCCCAGCAGATTACTATCTGTCTCTTCCCCACTCTGAACTCCATTACTGCTCTGCAACCCCGTGTAGTCAGAGCCCCAGAACCTCTCTCAAGGACCACAATCATCTTCTGGTGGTGTCCCAGGTCCTTTTCTGTTGTTTCTCCAGAGGGGTGAGCAGGGATCCTGGTTTCAATGACGGTTGGAAATAGAACTTTCCAGAGACGAGAGGATTGGGTGGTTGGTTTTTTTTCTAAATAAAAAGTGATATGTGAGTACTGTAATTCAAGTGATATTGAAACATCTGTTCCGTGGCTTTATCCCAGCTAAGTGTGTCTGACTGACAGAGTGGCCTCCCCATCAGATCTGGAAGAATGTGCAGCAGTGGGGTGGGAAGAGGCCAGCCAGGGAAGATACTGGACCATGTGAGGGGACACAGGTACCATACAGGATGCTGAGGACCTGTGGCTAAGTTTGCCCACCATTTCCCTCTGTGAGAGGAGGCAGGGAGGGAGGCTAGATGTTTTCCGTGGTAGGGAACCATCAGTTTCAAATGCAACAGGAACATTCAGGGTAGAGGGTGGTATTCTGGGGATTTAAGAACACCCTTCTGAGAAGAGGGACATGATAGTCACTGCATGCAAAATACACAAAAGATAAGAAAGTTGTGTTAGGCAGCTTAGTATCAGACCAGCCCTGCCCAGCTTAGAGTGCCAGTTGTAAGGGACTGTTTGGGGATGGTTCTAGAGTGCTGGCTGCCAGCTCCAAGAGGGGGCTGGCTTCCACCTCAGCATTACAACCGCCATCTGTATGCACTTACCTCCCCCTCATCTTTCAGATCTCCTCCCCCTCCCCAGGCCACAGGAAGTGGGGGAGGGTGCTGCCTGCTGGACACTAGCCTCAGGAAACTCTCCCAAGTGTGTCAACAGTGGCATGGAGGATTGGGGCCAAACAAAGGTTGATTCTTCATTCCTATCTCTCCAAAACCAGACCTTTCCCTCTCTGCACTCCCCTATCCCCATTTCTCTCTGGCTTTTCTCTGAGTTCTCTATCCTGAGGCTACTAGTACTTGGGAGGACAGGGCTAGAGTCCAGAGAAGGTGGTGGCTGATTTGGGGATTGGAGAAAAGGAAAGAAAAGTCCAGTTGGCTTCCATCTAGCAGCACATCTTGCCATAAGAGACCAGTTGAGGGTCTGGCCCAGTTAATGGTGGAGTGGATATAGGGTGCAGGCTCAGTGTGGAAATGGGAAGAGAAGAGACAACTGCTTCTCAGAACCATTTTATTCTGAGTTTCTGAGTGTAGGCTTTACTAGGAAGGGGTGGGGTGGAGTGGTGATCATGATTTGGATGCATGGCTTGCCCCCAAACTCATTTGCTGACTAGGAAATCAAACTTTCCCACCTTTGGCCAAAGCATCCTGGTGCTGCAATGGCTCCACCTGCTGGCTTTGCTGAGCTCCTGCTGCTCAGCCCCAGTTCAGATGACTCCATGGTAGGTTTCTCTCAGATGTTGCCCATTGCTAACAGTCTACTTATCTCGTGTGTAGAGCTCATAACCACAGAAAGACACTGATGGAGAGGACTTTAAAGATGCATTCAATTCAACTTCTTTTTTTTTCTTTATTATTGTGCTGGGTGCTGGTACATTGTGGCATTTACATAGGTTCTACAATGTATCAAATACAGCATACATGAATTCACCCCCTCTATTAGTTTCCTTTATTGCCCCCCCCATTCCTGGGATAGTTTCAGTAGGTATCATTTTTGCATTTGTACACAAGTTTACACATTTTTTGCACCATATTCAGTCACCTACCCCCTTTCTCCATTACCTCCCCCCTCCCACTGGCACCAGCCCTTCCCCTGGGCAGGATTTGTTCTTCCTTCCCATTCTCTGATTTTGTAGAAGAAAAAAAGAAAAGACAAAATGAAAGACATGACATTTTAGCTTGTTTGAGATAAAGGAGGCCACACAGGGAGTTTCCTTGTGCTACTTCCATGTGTGTATGTATTATAACCCCAATTAGTTTATCTCCTTTAATTTTCTTCATTCTACCTTAGTCCCTTTCTTATGGTAGTTTAGGTCAGTTTATTCCTATATTCACTCTTGTATATCAACCTATTCAAATTCTTAGTTTCCCTCCCATGCGTGGCTTCCCTTAGTGTGACCAGTGTTTCATAATACTCCTGCATTTGTGTTGGGTCTACATTCTACATATGATAGAGAACATGCAGCTTTGGGCCTCCTGAGTCTGGCTAACTTCGCTTAAGATGATGTTCTCCAGTTCCATCCATTTACCTGTGAATGACAAAATTTCATTCTTCTTTGTAGCTGAGTAAAATTCCATTGTATATGAATACCACATTTTCTTAATCCACTCATCAGTAGTGGGGCATCTTGGCTGTTTCCATAGCTTGGATGTTGTGAATAGTGCTGCAGTAAACATGGATGTACAGGTGCTTTTGTAGTAACCTGACTCACAATCCTTTGGGTATATCCTTAGGAGTGGTGTTGCTGGGTCGTATGGCAGGTCTATTTTTAGCTTTTTAAGGAGCTTCCATACTGGTTTCCACAGTGGTTGTACCAGCTTACATTCCCACCAGCAGTGTATGAGGGTTCTTTCCCCCACCCCATCCTCGCCAACATTTGTTGTCACTTGTGTTCTTGAAGGTTGCTACTATAATAGGAGTAAGGTGGAATCTTACTGTAGTTTTGATTTGCATTTCCTTTATGGCTAGGGATGGTGAGCCATTAAAGTACAGTAAAACACCAGCTAAGGCTCAGAGAAGTATGTGACTTGCCCAGTCACCTAGAATTCAGATGTCTGAATGCAAACGCTCCCCTTCATCACATCTTCCCGCTCTTCTACCGAGGCCTCCAGATTCCTCCACTTAGGTGTCATGAAGCCAGTGAAGCAGTGCTATCTCTGGAGCATTTCAGCAATGTGCACTATGCAAGGCAGGCCTGTATGCAGTTCCTTTGTGTAGAGACAAAAATCCCAGGAGACTGTGAGGCTGTGTTCCCTCTGCTGTGCCCTGGGTCCATTCAGAATAACTATGAGGAATTGCATCATTCATTATAGAAGGCAACCTGGCCTCAGATTTTCATGTAAATGGATAAGTGAGAGTGCCCCCCCCCCACCGAGTTGGGATAAATATCATCCCCATCCCATCCCTTCTAGGTAGATCAATCCCATACTTCCTCTTCACATAAACCCAGGAAGAGGTAAGCAATTTTTTGCAATAGGAAGCTGCATCTATTCCCATACCCCTATCCAAGGAGCTCTCTGCCACTTTTCAGTCAAGCAACTAGTTTTATTGGGCACTTACTGTGTGCCAGGTGCTGTTCTAGAGACTGTGGATACAGCAAATACTCAAGAGCTTGCTATTCTCCCAAAGGAGAAAAACAACAATTTTGTCTCAGCAAACACGTCTGTCTTCAGGTCATATTAAGAGCTATGAAAAATACAAAATACAGCAAATATCCCCCCTTACATTCAGGGGATATATTCCAGGCCTCCCAGCGGAAGCCTGGAACCGCAGCTAGTGTTAAACTCTCTGTATAATACTGCAGTCATTCTCTGAAAGAAACAGCTACTGAGTGGCTGGCAGGTGGGTTGTGCATACAGCACGGATACATGGACAGAGGGGTGGTTCCTGGGCAGGAGAAAGTGGGATGATGAGAGATTTTATCATGCTACTCAGAAGGACGTACAACTTGAAACTTGTGAACTGTTTATTTCTGCAGTTTTCTATCAGGTAAGTGAAACCACAGAAGGGAAAATTGCAGATAAGGAGGACAAGTGTAGAGTGAGACTAAAGCTTTCTTGCACGTGGTAGTTACTCTTGAAGAGGTGACAACTTAAAGCATAGGTTCTCTTGAAAGAAGTGACTATGCAAGAGAGAGGCTTCCACACAGAGGAAACATAGTCCAAAGCCCTGAAATGCAAAGCCACCAGGTGTAGAAAGCTCTGTGTGACCAAAGGCAAGGCAGCCATTGAGGCTGCATCAATGAGAGAGGAGAAAGACAAGGCCAGGTCACATCAGGCCTCATGAGTGAATACCACCAGGATGGGTTTTCTTGTTTTTTTTTTCAGCACTGGGGCTTGAACTCAGGGCCTTCACCTTGAACTACTCCACCAGCCTTATTTTTGTGAAGGGTTTTTTGAGATAGGGTCTCATGGGACTGTTTGTCCAGGCTGGCTTTGAACTTTGATCCTCCTGATCTCTACCTCCTGAGTAGCTAGGATTACAGGCATGGCAATGGGCACCCCACAACCACCAGAGCGTTTTGACTTGAAAGCAAACATCTGATTTATGTGTTAAAAGGATCATCCCAGCTGCAGAGTAGAGAGTAGAGGCTGAAGGACCAGAGAGTGGAGGAAAGGAGGCCAGTAGGGTCTAATGACTGTCAAGGGAAATGATGGTGGTCGGGAGTGGTGATAACATTGGAAGTAGTAAGATGAAGAATTCAAGATGTGTGTGTGTGTGTGTGTCTGTGGTACTAGGGTTTTGAACTCAGAGCCTTATGCTTGCTAAGCAGGTGCTCTATCACTTGAGTCACATATCCTGTCCTTTTTACTTACAGTTATTTTTCAGATGGGGTCTCTAATTTTTTCTTGGTCTGACCTGGACTCTGTAATCCCAGAGACTGGGATTACAGATATACCAACACCACACTGTGGATTTTTTGTTCAGATGATTCTAACTTTTTGTGGGGTGTGGCCTTGAACTGTGATCCTTCCAATCTATGCTTCTTGAATAGCTGTGATTACAGGCATGAGCCACCATGTCTGGGTCTACCTGGAAGGTAAAGCTGCTCATTTTACTCAAGGTAATAGTGATAGCTAACATTTGAGTACCGACTTATGCAAATTGAGACAATATAACAATATTTAAGTAAAGTATTTTACTTAATACTGAACTCCAGTAAGTTGATACCATTTTTTTCAGGAAGAAAAAACCCTAGAAACTCAGTAACAAGGAACTAGGTGAGATTCTCAGTGGTAGAGGCTGAGCTAAGTAAGAGTTAATTTGAACCAATAGATTTTTTTTTTGGCCAGTACTGGGATTTGAACTCAGGGCCTACATCTTGAGCCACTCCACCAGCCCTTTTGTGTGTGTGTGTGTGTGTGTGTGTGTGTGTGTGTGTGTTTCCAAGATAAGGTCTCCTGAACTGTTCCTACAGGCTGGCTTTGAACCATGATCCTCCTGATCTCTGCCTCCTGAGTAGCTAGGATTACAGGCGTGAGCCTCCAGCACCTGGCTGAACCCAAAGATTTAAA